GAAGAAGAAGAAGAAGAAGAAGAAGAAGAAGAAGAAGAAGAAGAAGATCTAAAATTGGTTCAATGCAGAAATCCCTGGCCTTTTGGGGTTGGCAGGCAGTTTTGACATTTTATATTATAAAACATATAACAACATAGTATCAATATTTTTATGAACTGGTTGCCATGGGTAGATGTGGTCAATCACAAAAAAATGTTTGGCAAACAAAATGGTGCTTTACTAGCTTGCATGGAGTTTATTTGGCTCTAATGATGCTCAATATCACCACAGCAAACCCACTTAAAGGTCTTTTTTTTAAAAAAAATTAAAAGTATTTAAAAAGAACATGAAAATGAAATCACACTAAGAAAGAAAAAAAATCAGCTTTCTAAAGAGAGAGTTGAAAGTTCAAGAAAGAAAAATAAAATAAAAATAGAAAAGTAAGAAAAAAGACCCAAAGAAATAGGTTCTAATCTTCTTTACAGCAAATAAATACACTTATAAATTTGCATCTTTCTCTAAAGGTACATCCTGTCTCTCTTCCTTCTGTAATCTTTCCTGTCTAGTCATCAAAACTATAGATCACTGGTGGCTAACCTTTTTGGGCTCCATTGCCAGAAGGTAATGCGTCCCCCATGCCCCCTGAGCATGCACGTGCAATCCCCCCCACTGCCCCCTTACCTGCACTGTGCCTCTCAGCTGATTTTTGGCCAGTTTGAGGCCTTCTTTGGCCTCCTAGAGGCTTGATGAAAGTCTCTGTGGGCTCTGCAGGATGAATAATAGGCCATTTCATCACTTCCAGTATTTCCGGAAATACAGGAAGTGACAAAACGGGTCTATTATTTGGCCTGCAAAGCCTGCAGAGGCTCTCCTCAAGCCTCTGGGAGACCGAAAAAGGCTTCAAACTGGCCAAAAATCGGCTGTGCACGTGCGCAGTGAGGTAAGTTTGCCTGAGGCTTACGTGCCAGCACAAATGGCTCTGCATGCCACCTGTGGCACGTGTGCCATAGGTTCGCCATCACAGCCATAGATCATAGTTTTCTCTAATCAAAGAAAACCATTTGGCCATCACAGCAAAAGAAGTTTTTTTTTTTTAAAGGCCGCTAGATTTGTTTAAATCAGATTTGATTCAATTCATTTAGAAAACGAAGCCTAATTGATTTGAATATCTAAAACATTTCAATGGGGGAGCATTAACTCGACTGAATAAGTTGAATCGATGTGAAATCCAGTTGGATTTGGGTGGAACAGTCCTTGGATCTGCTCACGTTACTTAATCCAATTTGATGCATCAAATCCATTTGTCTGTTCAATCTGACAGGCTGATTCAATCTGTCAAATTTGCCCAATCAAAGCACCAAGATTCACAATGTCTGGTGACAGATTTACGGAGTTCTGAGATGCAGCCTATCTACTGTACTAATTTTAAGAAAGGCCCTGAGCCTTGAGACATGATTGGTGATACATACTCTGTTTGAGGCTGGGACTGTGCTTTTCCAGTATGCTAGCTAAACTTTTTCTTAGAGAAACACGAAAGAGTTATAGAAAAGATGTTAAAATGCTATGTTGGGTAGCTGGATTCCAGTGAATAGACATTGAATATGAACTTAATTTATTTAAGTGGGTGTGTGAATAGACCAGCCCACAGTCCCTTTCTAAGAATTAATTTATTTATCAGATTGTAATTCTAACTTCATTATTTTTTTATATAAATAACTCAAGGATGTGAACGCACCTAATATTCCTTTCTCCTCCTATTTTCTCCACAACAAAAATCCTGTGTAGTGGATTGGGCTGAGAGAGAGTGACAGGCCCAAAGTAACAAAGCCAACTTCCATGCCTAAGACAGGGTTAGAATTCACCATCTCTTGGTGATTGGCCCAAAGTCACCCAGTCAGCTTCCATGCCTAAAGTAGAACTAGAATTCACCATCTCCTGGTTTCTAGCCTGGTGTCTTAACCACTTGGCCATCACTGTCAGCAAATTGCCCTCATTTTTGTCAATTTTTCCAGCTACTAAGACCGAAGAATGTTAGCATGTAGGGGAGCAAACAAAATCAGATTTTTTTAAAAAAATTGATGTTGTTGGTTGACTTACTGTGTTACAAAAGAAGACTTGTCACATATTCCTCCCACTCCAGAAAGGCTTTTGTTATGGGAGGTATGTATAATGCATGAAACGATTGATGGATGCACATCAAAAGTTTAGATTCCATGCTAGTCTCACAGGTCTGCACAGAATCTCACCTTTAAGAGTCTGTGCTTCTCTGTCCATAATTATGAAGCTCAAATGATGTTTCAGAGAACTGACACAATTACATATGAAACATTCTTGGGATGACAGTGCATTTCTTTTCTGTACTTCTGTATTCCTGGGTGGTTTGACAAAGCAAATACAAGCTTTAAATATAACAGGACTCAAACTATAATCAGAAATGTAAATATATATCACACATATTTACATACAGAGAGTCCTTCCCTTAGGATCACAATTCAGCCTCAAATTCCATCGCTAAGCAGGAGAGTTTTGCTCCATTTTATGACCTTGCTTGCCACAGTTATTAAGTGAACCGTTGCAGTTGTTAAGTTAGTAACAACAGTTGTTAAACGAACCTGGCTTCCCCATTGACCTTGCTTGTCAGAAGGTCACGACTGACTCCGGGATGCTGCAACCATCATAAGTGTGAAAAATGATCATAATTCACTTTTTTCAGTGTTGTTCTAACCTCAAACGGTCATTAAATGAATGCTTGTAAGTCGAGAACTAACTGTATGTTGCAGATTATTGCTGACGGAGCAGCCATAAAGGCTGGAGAAGCAATATTCAAACACTGTGATGTGTCTATATATCTGCAAAGATTAGAATTGTGCACAAAGTGGTATTCCCTATGGCACTCTTTGGAAGCCAAAGATAGACTTTGAAAAGGCTGAGAAGAATATTGATGCTTTTAAATTTTAGTATTGGAGAAAACCCTTGAGAATCCTATGGATAGCTAAGAAAAAAAGATATGGATCATAGACAAAATCTGTCCAGGATTCTCAGTCATGACCAGACTCAAATTATCATAACTTTTGATACGTGATACGAAGGTCTTAGCCTTTAGAAAAGTCTGTAACACTGAGAAATGAAGAAAGAAGAAATTGACCAGCAACAACATTGAAATAATGTGGACATTGTTGGAAAACCTGAAGGAGTGGTGCAGTGGCCTAGAGGTGGAGCTCTCGCCTCACAATGAGGAGGCTGTGAGTTCGATCCTAGGTAGAGGCAGAAATTTCTCTCTGGGCATCCGGCCATTAAACACTCTGATAGTTCCATTCAGTTGCCCAGACTCCACCCCACAAAGGATTATGGGGTCATTAAATGATGATGATAATGATGATTGTTGAAAGACCTGAAAATTGAGGTAGGGTCCTGGACAAGGTCCTGGACAAGGTCTACTCTATGTGGCTGCTAAGAGTCGATAGACCTGACACCAACCTGATGGGACAATCAAAATATTCAACCAGAACTGAAAAAACTTATTGGATGAGAAGTGAAACATCTTCAGGGAAAAAGACCAAGAAAGTCCACTTGCCTGGACAATCTTTGGTACAATCATGATCTGGATGATTGTGAATCTCCATCGACATAATTGAAATACATTTATCTATTAATGTTCTTTATTTCTGTGCCTTTTCTGAGGTGCTCACGGAAGTAAATAACCCTAAACTTTAAATTATACAATGAAATAATAAAAGTAGTTAAACTAAGATGATGCACAACTGGACACAAGGACGGTTTTTTCCCCAAACCCCATCAGTCTGCTAAACAAATAATTCCCTCAACACTGTCCAACTATTTACAAAGTCTACATTACTATCATTATTAATCTTCACCTCACTCCTTATCACCCACCCCCTCCCACTTGTTATCCCACAAAGTTATGACTGTAACTTTGTCGTTGTATCCTTACAATTTATATTGACCGTTTCCTAGTATGATTTGATTACTTATTGTACCCTATGACTATCATTAAGTGTTGTACCTGATGATTCTTGACTCTTGATGAATGTATCTTTTCTTTTATGTATACCAAGAGTTTATGCACCGAAGATAAATTCCTTGTGTGTCCAATCACACTTGACCAATAAATAGTTCTATTCTATTCTATTCTATTCTATTCTATTCTATTCTATTCTATTCTATTCTATTCTATTCTCTCTGAATCAAGGTGACTGATGCATGGAAGATTTATTGCTCAAACTTACACAGAAGAATCTAGTCAAGTAACAGTCTGTATTAAATTGGTGCTGGATAAGAATCGGAGGACACAGTGGCTCAGTGGCTAAGATGCTGAGCTTGTCGATCATAAAGATTGGCAGTCGGCTGTTTGAATCCCTCATCATCCCATCCCAATACCATGTTATCCTATTCTATCCCATCCCATCCCGTCTTGTCTTGTCTTATCATCCTATTCTATCCCATCCTACCCTATCCCATCC